TCCACACTGATCACTTGACAAGTTTTGCATTAGAGATAATCTATGCACCAACTTGGGAGGGAGTATTGACGTTAGTTATCATTCAAGAGATGACTGGAGAAATCATTGCATCGGTCTCACAGTAAAATCCTTTGTTTTTAGGGCCAACCATGATATTAGTCTTAGATAGTGTTTAGACTATAAATAGCTTCCGTAAATTGCTCTTTGTACTGCAATTTATTTGTACTCATTTATGTATAGAGATATATGAAAAAATACAGACTTCTTTGACAGTAGTGACATCAGCACATCTAAAGAAGATGAGAAAATATAGAAACTTAAATATTCCCTGTTTAATTTTAAGAAGAAATTAAAATGAGGCACACGTAGATTGTAGGGTTCTGTATAGATAGAAGCATGGATTTTTTATTTATTGAACACAATACTCCAACTTGAATAATACAAATTAATCTTGAATGTAAATACATCTGAGGAAAATTAAAACTAAAATAGTCTTTGTTGGACGTTTATGGGTTGCATTCTTTTTCAATTAAATGCTAGTAATGAGCAAACTATATGTACTTGTTATTTGGTATCTTCATATTTTTACGTCATTACAAGATCAAACGAGTTCAATTACCAGAAAACTATACTCATAATGTTTATGATAAAACTATATTTCACACTAATTAGTTTACTTACATGCACTGCATGTTTTATTTATATCGTAGAAGAATTTGTAATTTATGCCTTTTATATATTGGAATTGAAAAAAAAATTTTGCTAAATAAATTTAAACATGTTTTTTCGCACATTTTGCACACGTTTCATTTTTATTCTCTCGACTTTCATCTTTATGTCTTTTACATGAGATTGGATATGTTCTTATTCAAAATATATACATTGGAACTAGCGAAAAGTGCTTGTATTACACTCAGTGAAATGGTTTAGTGTGGATGGAGGAAGATGAATTAATTAAAAAAATTAATGTTCATCTAATATAAAATAAGGATTCTTTTTATATGCTAATTTCTACAAGATTAAAACTTGTACACAAAATTTAGCTAAGTGGTTTGTCACATAAACATGTGAAACAAAAATAAATTTGTACTGAAAAAATATGCTTGTTAATGTGCCTAGTAAAGTTAATAATTTTATTAAATGAACATAAAAAGATGTCAAAGAACTTCAAAGATTGGTGCATCTGTCAAACTTAAAACAATTTCTCCAAGTTTAGTTACATTAACAAAATTAATATAAAAACGTGAGCAAGTACGCAAACAAAAAGTACAAGTGCAGAGCAG